GAAAAAAGTGTCGAAAGCGAAAGAGAGTGGAGAAGGGTTGTGGGATCGGTGAGGAGGTTGTTCTGTTTTCGAAATTTTTATCAGCCTGACTTTGGCGCTAAGTGGAACTTTGTCCTGTCAAATTCTCAACGCTAGCGCCTGGTTTATTATGCCGCTTAACCTCGTATAACTTCGGATAAATGCTCTCACTTGTTGTGCATTTCATTAAATTTCATTAGTGTCACGTAATATATTTGTTCATTAAGAACTCCTTAGTAAATACCACTCCCAAGCTGTTTTGATGCAAAATTGCACGGACAACTAGCAAGGAGTGCCCCACCCTTTGAAGCGTTCGCCGCGCCTTGGGCCACTTGATCGACATCAGCCAAGGTGTCAACGTCACGTTGGACCGATTTCGAAATTTTACGACCCCCCCCCTTCTAGAGGGCCTCGATACGACCCCCCCTCAGGGTCAACCCTTCACCACCCTCGCCTGCCATCGCCATCATGGGGCTCATTCTATAGTATTCGATTCTGAGACCAGTCGACACAGCCCAAACTCCGCCCACTTTTTTCCTCCAAAATTGCCGTCGAGCGGGGAGAGGGAGGGGGGGGTAGGGGGTTATATCTCCCACGAAACCACAAACTTCCTCTCACTTTCCCTCTATTTCACCCATATTTCCACGGCAACATTTCTAAAGGGGGGGGCATGCATATACACACCGTGAAACGGCACAGCAGCGCGCCAACCCAACTGCAACATTACCATTCCCTTACGGGTATAAGATTCACGCTATCCTCGCGAATACACCTTTCCTTTTCCACTCCAAATAACGACCCCCCCCCCCCCCCCACCCACCCTCGTTGGACTTTGTCCAACGGACGGTTGACCCTGCATCCAGCTCTGACGCCTTCCCTCGGCCGCGACCATGCCGAAGCCTTAAGAGTAGAATCTTTTTTGGCATTAAGGCGTCATTTCGAAAAGCCTCTAGCTGGGAGTGCAGCAAATAATCAGCGAGTGATAATAGTGAAGCCAATCGCACCATGATTGTGCGTCAAGCCTATTCGTCCCAACACCTTTGTGGACTGGTGGAATTCAGGTCATTCTGGCATTGTCCTTGGTTTCCACGTTGCAAACGTACACGACTTCCAGCTGCTATTGTTCACTGTTCTCCTGCAAATTGTAGTGTGTGACTATTTTAGTTTGAATTTACTACTCTCCTTGACATGAAGAAGCACTGACTTGAGCAAGTAACAAGAATGCTGGGTTATGAGCAAAACATTGTAGTAGGCGAATTTCAAACCCTTTTCTCGCTTTCAAGGCTGCTGCGGTAATTACACAACCAGGCTATCGGTTCCTTCCCATCCACATGGAGCTGTGTAAGAAACTCCATATATTATTTGGTCCAAAGTTTATCTGAACTCTCGCTATGAGTTTTCATCGCATCGACCTATAGTCAAGAGACTATCCAAGGACGGTCTCCGAAGTAGCCTCGGCATAGCGACCCGATATTCCCTCTTCTACTCTTCGAAACATCTTCGCTGCTTCTGAGGTCAGGTACACATCTCTGCGCTCGCAACAGGTGGAAGTTCGAAGACTGTGCACACTCAGGGACGGTAGTAAAGTGCCATAGACTGGGAGTCAAGGGTGGTGAACTACGGCCTTTAACGGCGAATAATGAAAGGCAAGATAGTGAGATGACCCTGGTGTGAACGGCGAACTTCAGTATGTTGCTAGCAAAACTCACATCGCCCATGGACTTGAACCGTGTAAGCAGCGTCCATGAGCGCGACGCTTGACACACTGCACCGCAAAGCACTGCTGGTTCACTTTGAAAGAATTGTAGAATGCAAGGTAGTAACCTGGGAGGGTTGCCAAACCTTGGGTTTCGAAATGGAACTGATCCCGCGACCGATCCTATGTCCACAAGGAACGAACCCGCTGCGCCAATCGACGTGTTAGGGTGGAGACCATTCCCATTTAATTGTTTAGAGGTGAAATTCTCCCATGACCAAAGAAGGGGCTGTAACACAATCAATAAGTGGAACAATAATGGGGACAGCTGGGGACACCTTATTGGCAGAAAGTTATCAATATTATCGATAGCTCCGGTGGCTTCCTCAACACCTATCACCAATCACCCTTCTTCTCTTCGCTCTGCGACATGGCAGGGATGCAAACACGCTCTACATGACGTGCAGAGAAAGGGGAAAGTGCATGGGGATTGCAGAGATCACTAAATGTACTCAGGGGTACATATTGGTCGCCCTCTACATGACCCTCTGCGATCTCTGCGTTCTCCACGCTCTTTACCTTTTCTCTGCCCAGGTTCGCCGACTAGCGTTAGGTGCCACCTAGGACATTGGCCACTTGGGATGCGGCCCAGACCTCGCCCACTGCGGCACGTCAGCGCGAGTTTCGCGCCTTTCCCCATGCTTTGCGGGTGGGGACGAAGGCGAGCACTGCGTGACCTATTGGCCAACTATAGACTGGCCATTTAGGACACTTTACTACCGTCCCAGAGGATTAAGGCAAGCACCTAGAAGTGGACCATTCACTAATACGATTAGAGCCTGAGACCCATCGCTTTGATCTCAGAGTCTTCCGTCAATCCTACCAATAGAATAGATGTCTTTATCTATATTGGTTTTTACTGGAGCAATCCGAATCGTATACACCAAAAAAATGCAAAAAGTTTCCGCGCCAGCTCAAGGTGCACCGCATTTCTCCTACGATTTGAGCTAATTAGGAAATTTTTATATTGAGCTTCTTCCCGACCGGGCACTTGTTGACAGAAAGCAAGAGCAAGTCCCTAGATTACATATGATTTACAACAGACATTTTCCCTAAAGTGGTACTTTATAACAGGGTAACATCTGAAGTGATTGATATTCATCTTCAGAAAATATTGAAGTTAACTCGGTCTTGCTAAAGACCATGTGAGTACGGGGATGTCGCTTTGGATTTATGACCATTTTGCGCGACGTCTATTTGCTCTCCAATGGAATTGGCCTCCCTTTCAAAACAATCAAAGCCGCTCTGGACGCGCATTCTCAGGCTGGGGCACTGGAGCCAAGGACTTGTGGCTCCCCCAAGCTTCATTAACCTCACTCTCTAGGTGGGATAGGTAGAGGACAAGATCTACATAAGAGAGGCCTCACAAGTCGGTGGATGCGCTGAGTGTATGCGCTCCAAACGTGGGAGAACGTCGTCGTTGGCTACCTGCAGCACACTGCTGGTTCCGTCGTTGGACGTTAAAAGGCCTCCATCAAAACAGAATCATCAAGCTCGGAGCACCTTCTGTCTCTAAATTATCACATAGCCCAACTGTATTTTTCTGTGAAGTTGATTTGTTAAGAGAGTCTCCTTCTTGACTTTTCGCACTCGAAAACATGGCGTCCCATGCTTTCGAGCCCCCCTGTATTACCGTATTTGCAGCATTTCACGTATGATATGATACTTGCAGTATTTCACGTATGATATGAGGAGGCGATTAGCCGGCAGAGGAGGCCGAAACTTTTGAAGCATAGCAGATACAAGGCAACCTGTTCCGAAACAGCCACTGAAAATGTAGAAATTAAGGTTGACATGAGTAGGATTATTTCTAATCCGATACTACAAATGTGAAAGAACTCTTCTACTTCGACTTAGTGCATCACAAAGAGCAGATTTCATTTTTACGGTCTTTTATGCTTTATTCACGTGGGAAATTACGTACACTTCGCGACCATAAAGAAGGGAAAGGAATGCAATTTAAGCGTCTCTGAAATGCGTACCACTGGGGGGACGTATAATCGCGGGAATTTCGCCAGAAGCGATGAGAGGGTATCCAAACGCTTTGCTTTAGCACCAGAACAACCTCGGGTGAACTTGAGAAAAGGCAAAAAGGCGAAAGTCGCACATGTGAAACCAAACACGGTAACGCCTGTCTGCCCACAAATACAGGTTCGAGAATTTGACGGGCCGGTACGGAAAACATCATGGTATCTACTGCGGTGCCTGGTAGATTTTGAAGTCCCATCATCAAATTAAACAGTCGCTGCTGTAGAAGCAGGGTTACAGCATCGGACCATGTAGACCTTACCAAGACTCAAGGCGAAATCTTACTCCGGCCTGTCACAACTTTAGAGGCCGCGACAACTTAGCACTTCGAAATGCCTTACTAAGGTCCACTTCACTCCGACATCTGCTTTATGTCCCATCGTTTGATCATCTGTGCTCTTTCGACTAGGAGACATCTCCCTCTCTCCGACTCACATCATCATGTTCTGCTGTTTAGCTCTAAGACTTCTCCGCAGCGTAGAGAAGGGAGATTTGTGTTTTCTGTGTTTTTGACGAGACCACTTCCTTTTCCTCTTCACCTTCACAGCTCTACCTTCCTAGTTGAGTGGGATTACCACATCAAATTGATCCTGACCCTTGCCTTTAAGGATGCGAGGCTCATTTTAGAGAAGGGTTCTTCGCATTTTGTGAAAGCACATGCATGAATTTGAAAAAGACGAGCTTCTGTGTGCGCCACACAGTTCTAGAGGACAAAAAAATAGTGGAAGTGTGCGCTCTAGTTTCCTGTGCATCTTCGGGACTGGGCGACGGACTTTGACTCCGGTCCCGCGCGTGGCACTGCCGGCCAAACGCTCCGCGCATGGCTGCGGGCCGGATATGAGCAAGTCTTTTGCGGCGTTCCTGCAGTTTAGGACATCCAAACGTCAATATGTATGTCAACCCGTGGATAGATCCGCAGGTCCTGCAGATTGCGAACTAATTTTTCAAAAACCCTTGGAGATCTGGAATACGCGACGATGTGTAAAGAACACCCAGCAGCGAGAATCATAAGATTGCTTAAAGCAACAGTCCAGGAACGAATTTGCGGGCCAAAAGCACCTATATGGAAGTTTGTAGGTGAAAAGTGGTCGAACGTAAAGAGAAAAAGTGAAGAAAACGCCCAACTGGGGCTTAGACAGGGACATGCCCTGCCGTTTAGGGAGACGTGTGTTGGACGAGTTGTCCGAACCTGCCCGTAGTACATGCGCTTCCAATTGCAACTGCTGGCAAATAGCTGCATGCTTGCAAATACATAACTATTTGCCAGCAATCGAAATTGAAGCGCTTCAATTGCGTTCTTATGGAATCGACCTCATACAGCGCGGCGGTCCCGCAACGACCGCTAGTCAAGCGGACTCTGCACAGCGTATGTTGGGCGATCCGCCTCTTTATGGGTGATCCGCCCCCTCCAAGAGGACTTCGACCCCTTTCCAGCGCATTTTAGAGGTAGGTTTTGAAATTAAAGACATTTCCTATAAACTTTAGTTGGGCTGGGGCATGTTTTGACCGCCTAATGACCAAGTAGTTGAAACCCTGCCTGGACTGTTGCTTTAATAAAGTCATAAGCAACTGCATCCGGAAGCGGCATCTCAGAGGGAGGATAGAGCACCTTGTGCTCTCCCTATTTCTCCCCTCTCTTGGGCTTAGTCCTAGTGTCACCTACCATCGGGCCTTTTTTGAATGTCTTCCTAAGGGCATAAACGACGCGACAGCATGCATGTATAATTGGCAACACATAACTACACCTCAGTAAAAACTCCTGAATTCAGTGTTTCTTATTCGCTTTGGTGATAGCAGTGACACTTTAATTGTGGAAGTTCGTCCTCTCATCTTGAGCTGAAATCTCCTCACCGACACCGCTGCATTCAAATCTCCGTGCGCGGAAAGATTTTCAAACCGCAGAACCATGCGGAGTTTATCCGCAATCTGCACACGCTTTGACGTGTTGAATTCTACTGCAGAACCCGCGAAGCCTTGTCTCGTCCGGATCGCCGCGCATGCCGCCGCGCAATTCGCCGCGTGCCAGCCCGGACGAGCCATAGTCCCGCACCCCTTTCGGCTTTTCACCATTCTCGAATTCAAATTTCCTGATCTTTCCACTTGATAAGAAACCTTTCAGAATGCAAAACCCGATCTTAAAAGAGCTAATCATCATTAAAATCAGAAGGATAAATAATTTGACGTTGATCAAATCTCTAGGCATTCTAATTCCATCTAAAATCATAGTGAAATTTGAAGACCCACTGTCCTATACAACCCGTGGGCCGCTGATATAAAGTCAGCGTTTCATCATTTTAGACGGAACTGCTATCGACTTCGGAGGGAAGGATGGCTTGGTTGACCGGTTCAGAACCCAATCCTGGGTTTTTCCCGCAGCGGTGCGCATAGGATGTACATCAATACCCCATCAGGGTCGGTCCTATCGTTGGTACTTTTTGCAAAATTTTTACGACCCCCCTCCTTCACGACAGATTTCATACGACCCCTTCTTCACAACTTATTTTTCCCTCAAACACCGTCGAGCGGGAATATATACGCACGCTGAAACGGCAAATTTTCTCCCGCGCGCTCTCACCTCATCACATGTAATTTCGTGCTACCGAAACAAGTACGACCCCCTACCATCCAGCACGTTAATGTTGTAAAAATGGTAAACTCGCGAAAATTGACCCTATTTCCTCGTTACGTCTGAGTGCCCATTTTGAACCATTTGAAAAAGCGTCAACTCTTAAACGTTGTACCGTGCTTCTACAATAAATTAATATGTCAACGAATGTTAAGTCATTGTGGAAAGTTTCAATACCACAGTGTTCTTTTTGTATTTATGAGTCTACCTAAACGAGCGTGCGATCCTTTTTGTTAGTATTTCAGACTACACTATCCCATCACCTGATGCCTCTTCAGATGAGAGCTGTTGGGAACAAGACGAAAACCGCAATTTCACACGGGATTATGAGCAAAAGTATAGCACGGAAAGCGACCATGGTGTGTAGTCTAGCTATTGCTCAATGTCAATCACATAGCACGATAAGCGCACCTTGAGAGTGCTGTGATGCAAAGATCTTGATGGAACCATCTTTAAAACTGGGACGTGGCCAAAATAACACTCAATCTGGACGTCAAAGCCCAAAAAATGTTTGAGCGATGCCTTCAGACCTAGCGCAAAACAAACTGATGAGTGGAGTTGAGCGACACCCAGCGCATCGATGGAGCTCAAATCCCCACCAATTTGGGAAGCCTTGAAGCAACAATCCAGCAGGGTTTTTACCTTCGACACTAATGGTGTGGAAATGATGCGCTAGCCCTAGTCAAGAACATAAGAAGTGTCACTGAACAAAAAACTCACCTTGGAAAGCCGCTAGAAGGACTGAACGCTTTCGAAGTGGGCGTTACCGACATTGTTCGGTAACGCCCACTTGTCAGCCGTGGAGATTGTGTTGGCTGCGTGTAAACTGTCCCTCGTTTCTAAATTTGTGCTGCCTTTTTGATTGTTTTACTTGCTTAACTCATTCAATTATATCATTTCTTTGTTTGTACTGATGCATATGTCTCTGTTTGTATTGGTGCATATGCGATTGCAGCCGCATTTCTTGCTGGCACGAGCCAGCAATAAATGACGGCGGAGCACGCTAGTTTAGATAGCTCGTAAGGCCCTCTCTCCTTCATTTCGAAAGAAAACCAAAACCGAAAACCGACCCTTTTCCCTCGCTAACTCGATCTGGAATTGTTGCTTTAAGTGTCGCATTGCTCTGCCTACAAATCTGCAGGAGAGTTCCTTTCATCGAGTTGTCAGAAATGCTAGTAGGACCCTTGCTTTTAATGCACGCCGCTCTGCTTTCAAGGTACGCGTTGCTATGGAATCTCATGGAGGAATTCATGGTGATTCGAGTTGCAGCAGCAATCAGGGGATCTGGGACAGGAGGATCAGACGACGATCGACGGCGCGTCTACTACTTCAGCGGAGAAAAGAGTCACTGTCCGGTCACACAGGCGGAAGCCTAATTGCCTAGCCACACTAGGATTTGCAGCTACTGACCCTCACGTGCCATCAGGCTAACAACCTGTTTTGAGTATTTAAAAAACGTTCATGGTCTCCCACACCATATTCCAACTAAATTCTTTTTTGGTGATCCATTCGACGATGAAGCGAGAGGATGCTCATGGCAGAGGCACTCGGATTTGTCAGGACCGCAGATGACAAGAATTCCTCTTCCTCACAATGCACTGGCCTTCGGAGTGAGATGTTGTTGTCTACCTGTCCGGTGAAGGCCTCACACAACCCTCCCTTCGTATATCTTCGTCGAAGCACTCACCTCACGTACGAGGGTGAACGGTGGCCCTTTTGAGTTCAATCTTTGTCAGTACTTCTTTTCTTTTCGTTTATCTTTTCACTATCGTTCCACGGATGAGCGAAATAACTACATCTTATAGTCGGGGTATGTGCCTTTAACCCCGATCTCGTTTTTTTTTCATCTGCAAGCATTGAACTTCCGTGTCTCCAGCATCTAGAACAGCCTTCTTCCCTAAATTTTCTTCCTTTCGTAGATATCAAACTACAAATGTCTTTGCCCCAATACAGATCGATATACTGTCATCTCTACCTATTACTTCTTTTATCAGTGCATGGCAGTCTCGTTCTCTTTCCTGTTAACTCATCTGGCTCAGCCACTCCTTTACAACTTCATTACTCAGCCCGCATTGCTCTGCCTACAAATCTGCAGGAGAGTTCCTTTCATCGAGTTGTCAGAAATGCTAGTAGGACATAACTATACCTAAATTTACCTTCTATACTAACCTCTGTTACCATCTCTTACCGCACCAAATTTCAAATCAATGGAAGGATACAAATAAAGTTTTGGCCCTAATTAAACCCTTTGGGATACCTGACTTCGGAAAGAAGGAAATCTAAACAGATTGGCCTAGGCGACACTCGATCCAGGTTCCACCCCTGCAGCGTGCGTGCAGTGTACTGTTGATACTGAAGGAGTGCATCAAAGTTCATAAACGACATACATACATACTGTGTAATATACTTTCGCTCGCCACCCGTCCCCCCCCCCCTTCTCCCCTTCACTCTACAGGGCAGATGTGAATGGTTGTATTGTAGTTACAGTTGTTCCTTTTTTGCAAGTGCCCAAACTTCATTTGAGAATGCCTCCACGGTAGAGAAAATACTGAGTTGACTTAATCTTTAACTAGCTTCAAAGTTGGTTAAACCAAGACAAAAGGAAACGCTCAAATTTAAAACTTCACTTTCCGGTTTCTACAGGTGTTGCTGATACATTTATGTATTTCAGATTATGTGCAGTGTGATTATTGCGGTCGAAACTTCAGTGAGAACGCAGCAGAAAGGCATATTCCATACTGCAAGTGAGTCATCTATCAGGACTTAAAGGCATTATTCGCGATAATGACTCAATAACGAATGCCTCACGGATTACGCTCATCTCGTCAATCCCGCCCCTTCCTCTACCTTTATCAGCAAATCGATACTTCAACTCTTGTTACTTCAACTCTTGTCACACTAATGGCATGAAACCCGAAAAGCATTGGGAAATGGTAGGCGTACGAAATTCTCTGTTAAAAAAATCAGAAGCCAATGTAACTCGAGAAACAGGTCCTGAAAAACTTAGAAAAAACCTGCTTGTCTAACGCTCATAATTTTTATGTGAACCCTTTAGAGCGTTCTAAATCCTTCGTTCTAAATCTAAATCCTTCAATGGATATGTACATATTTAGGCTACGCCTAAGTGTATGCACCTTCAAAAATACTATCCCGACATTTGCCGCGAGTATTGTCTTTTACCACCTTCATATCCGTGACATAATCATGTAATTATAGAGAGCAAAACTCGAGAAGAGGAGTGAGTAGCACTATCAAACCTTTAACAAGTCACCGCAAGCAAGCTCCAACAAGACATGAGGTACGTGAAACAATATTTTCGTTTCACTTCCTTCTTTACTGTGCCAGTAATAAACGGTCTATTTTTTCGGTCATGACTTCTTACTCAACTCGAAAAGTTCAGTCTTAGCCGAGATACGTGCATTTAAAATTAGGGGTTGGAAAACGACAGAACTTTCTGAAACACCTAACAGTTGAATTGGGAAATTAGCCCCATCTCTGTGGCCGCGGATCAGCAACTTTTCGTGGGAGAAGCGGGCTTCATGGTTCCGTATAAGATGCGCCACTATTGTTTCATTGACCGGGCTTCCGTGCAACAAAAGGGTCAGCGATATTATACTTTCAGGAGAGAACTGAGACGACATATTCGCGGGCCGAGTCAAGAGGGCGGAAAGACACCAGAAAACAAGACAATGATAGTGCTGCTTTTCGAAGGAGGTATGTTAAGTTGACCATTTCTTATTCTCGCTCTTCAGCCATTTATATGGGAATCGGAATTCTCCATGTTTCCTCATTGCTTCATGTGAAGGCGGATACCGCGATTTGGGAGGTGGGGTTCGAATAGGAGACTATGCTTGTTATTAGGTCGTGAAGAAAGTTCTTGCGCTTTTCGGTGTTTCGTTTTTGAACGCTTTATTTTGTTACGAATTCAAGCAAGCTGCCAATGAGCTGTATGTGGTTTTGAAGAGCTTTTCTTGTTCTATCTAACAGCTAGGCTAGCTATGTTTATTATTTAGTTGTCATTTTTTGAAGCCTTGAATACGGCATACTCCAAGAGCAAATTTGCATGATTTCCTTTTTCTAGCTCAAAGCAGGCCAGTATGGAGAGGAAGCAGGTCAAGATATTATAGACGCACTTGGCTGAGATTCGCAATAAATATGGTCTGAAGCAATTGTTCAAAAAGCTTTTGTAAGAATAGCGAGAGCCCTAAAGATTGTGAGGGTGGTGATCGGAGATTGGACAACGCCAACGATTAGTCGAACGTTCTGGTTGAAGCACGTTTGCACAAATCTATTGAGAGGGTTCCTCCTAAACTGATCGCACTTGCATTGTGTTTTCTTGTACGGGAAGAGCTGGAAAGTCCCAAAAATTCAAATAGGGCGTGCCGCGACAGCTCACCATTTTGAAGGGTCGTTCGCCGCGTTCTAGCTTGTTTCATGCCATGAAAACGACCTGACTTTTTGATCATTTGCGACGCACGACAAAGAACGGATTCTTTGCTACAGAATACGAACCTTTGGTGAAGTGATCGACCGCGATCAGGCTCTACAAACTTTGCAAAAGTGAAACTTCACTGAAGGAAGGTTGAGGTGACTTTCATAAGGTCAGCGGCTGGTCTAGCTTTTCGTAACCAGGTGGATCTGTTAATGTGGAAAAGTACTCTGATGTGTCAAATTACTCCTAGAACTCTGGCACATATGCTCGAAATTCCTCATTATAAAGGAACCGGCTCGTCCCTGACAGGTAGCTCGGACGCACATTCCACAACCAACCCTGCAGAAGTTGGACAAGATTGGCTACGAATTAGTCCTGCGAACATCCTACTCGGTAGACCTTTTGCCTATAATTTGTCACTTTCTCGACTACCTGGATAGCTTCTCCAAAGAGTTATGCTTCAAAAACCAACATGATGCGGAAACGACCTCCGCCGGGTTCATCGTCTCTAGAGCTCCAGTATTCTGCACTACCGGGCTGATTCAACGCAGCTATTATTGGCAGAGGTTTGTGGATTCTAACAGTCTTTACTCCAATCAAAAAGGTTTCGAATGAGCCGAGATACAGGCATTTGAAAATCAAGGTCGAAAAGCGCAAGAACTTTCTTCACGACCTAATAAAACACGCTCCACAGAGCAATAGCTTTTCAGAGATCTTAAAGGAATCCTTCGCGGAAAATTCTTGCATTCTTTCCTTGACATGAATGTGTCAGTTGTGATCACTGGAAACAGCACACAAAGTTTCACGCATGAAGATTTCCGAAGAGAAACAAACGT